TGTTATTATAGTTAATCTTATTGATATTTTATCAAATTTATGATATATAGTTAACTTCAGTTACAAATGCATTAATCGAGTCATAAAACACCATTGGGTCCATGTTTTACGGAACCAAGTAAAAATATATAAATGTGGGGTTTGTAACGAATTTCAAGACACTAATAGCAGAGTCGGTAGATTAACTACCGACTCTGCTAATAGCCGAGTATTAACCAAGCGAGGATCCTCGCGCGAATTGCAAATAAATTCGTCCACGAAACCGGATTTAATAGGAAATAATTTAAAAATTCATTTTTCAAAATTATTGAACGTCAAAGTTTATAATTATATTTGACATTTTGTAGAAAACTCGTAATGAAAGCGTGAAAAATATTCTGCCTGAATTATCTACGTTACTATTGCTTACTATTGTCGAAACTTTCACCAAAATGATTAAATTTAAATAAATTTATAAATAAAAATTTTAAATTAATCAGATTTTGCAAAGGAAAAGAAAACAATTACACAATATCAGAAGGCTGCGGTAAATTTCTGATTTGTGTGGAATACGCAAGGTGGCGCAATAAGTAAAATCATTACTGACAGATTAGTCCTGTTGCGCGAAGTAAAATCGTTTTGAAAGTTGTAAATACTTAAGTTATTTTTCTAATATTTACTTATATTAATAAAACTACGTTTAAGTTTTTTATTTAACAATGGCTGTTCATTCGGCTCCACCAAAACGTAAAGAAATTTATAAGTATGAAGCTCCTTGGACTGTATATTCAATGAATTGGAGCGTTAGACCAGATAGAAGATTTCGTTTGGCATTGGGAAGTTTTATTGAAGAATATAACAATAAAGTAAATATCTTATAAATGTTTTACTATTGCATTAAATCAATGACAATATATGTATTTATTTAAGCTTATTTATATATATTTTATTGTGAATCATGATTACTTGTTTGATATAACTTTCAGAAATATATACAGTAAAAAATGTTGCATTTCAGAGTAAACTGTTGGTGGGTATTTGGCTTTATTACAGCTTGGTCAAATGCATTGTTATAGATGAGCATAAAACTATAATGGATCTTTGGATTTTCATCCTTTGAAATTAATGTATTGAAAATTAATGCAACATAACACTTACTTGGCAGAAAGAATAATTCGTCACTAAACACCTTTGGTGCTAAGAAACACTTATTTGCTTATACTGTATTTATATAAGACAATCTCACATACAGATGAGGCGTGACTTTAAAGATCAAAATAAAATTAGATTTATTAATTCAATTGTAATTTTGTTTAATCACAAGTAAAATATTATTAAATGCACACATTGTTCTGCAAAAATTACTGGCATTTTAAACTTTAAAGAAAAATTTTGTAAAATTGACAACATAATTTGTTCGTATAAAGCTGGACAATCGGGAACCTTTTTTTGGCAATTCTTAATGGTTGAATCCACACTTATGAGTTTCTCCAAATTCTGATTTCCGAATAATTGTCTGTTTTCATGGGAATGGATTAAAACTTATATTGCATTCCCGTGTGATTTTGGAATTTCGATTGGAATTTAATTCAAAAGTTTTGCTTTTCCTATTTCTATTCATCTTTACTCTTGACAATATACAAGAACGATTCAAACGATCCAGTTAAAATAGTTTTGTTTTTAAACACTAAAGTGTGAACATCTGATAAAAACTGCAAATACACGGTTCACAAAAATTATTGCAAAAAGACAAATAATCCTTCACTCGCGAGTATAGGATGACCTAGGTTTTTGAAGCAGAGAAAAATGAATAAAAACCTTGTCTTATATGCGAGAAAATATGGTATACTGATGTTTTCAGCCTAATGTGTGGGCTGTCCTTAGGTGACTGAATAGAATGCATCATATACAGAACATTAGAACATAAAATTGTAAATATTTGAATATAAAGAACATAAAAATTCTAAAAATAACATAAAGGTGATGTAAAGTAAAATATAAAAGTAGAATAAGAACTAAGTTTTAAATTCAAAAATATATCTTAGCAAATGTGGTAACTAGGAGTTTCTATAATGAAGCTTATCTTTTACAATGAACTTTCATGCTTATGGTAAAATGTATGCATCTCTTGCATTAATACATTTATTCCCATGGATGAAACTAACTTCTGATACTGAAGCTATATTGAGGTAGTATATTGGACTATTGATTGACTTATCTAAAATGTAGTGTGTCCCTAAAGTCTTGACACATACAAAGATACATATTTTCAAGAAATAAAATTCATTAACAATAATTTATTTAATTGGAGTATCAAATAATGAATTAAATGACATTAGCGTCCTTGACTTTTTTTCTGAAAATGATTTCCATCATTTTTAGAAAAAGAAGTCAAAGGGGCTAAAGTCAAGTGAACAAGGAGACCACTCTACATGACCATGTCTATGCCCATGTCATATGGTCACATGGATGTGAATAATATGAAATACTAGTCCAATTCTTTCTTTATTCAACAAAGCCATATTTAAAGTTGAGAAAATTATCATCTAGGCGTTAACAACCTACATCTATGGCTACAAACAACCATAGTGATAGCTGTAGGTTGTTAACGCCTAGATGATAATTTTCTCAACTTTACTTATCCAATATTCAGCTGTGAATTCCAATATTATTTTTCACTTTTAAAGCCATATTTAATTTGTGGAGAGAAAAATTATAGTTAGTGAGATTTCCTGTGTGTCCAGACTTTAGGGACACCCTGTACATTTGCAAGAGCAATTTCACCTTGCAACATATTGTTCAATTGGCTATTAATGCATTCTGCACAATATATTAGTGTCATCCAGTTAGGAAGTTGAGGACATCAAAAGCCTTGTACCTTTCTAGATGACATTTGATACATCATTCCCATACATTTATGCAACACACCAAGCATTTGGGGTTGAAACTCAAATGCAAGAGTGTCCCACCTAAATTGGGACATATGGCCATATTAGTATATCAGATAAATTATGATATTTTCTATAAAAAGTTGAATAAATGTCTTAAAAGAAGTTTATTAATTATATTAATGAGTCTGAAATAACGATTCTAGCATTTTTTTTGAAACATTTTTATTTTTATTTTATTGTAGATCAGTTTTAGTATATCATTTACAGTGAAATAAAAAGAAACAACAATCAAATGATATTAACTTGACAAATTAAACCTGTAATTTCTATTATTTAATTTTTTTTACTTAATTAAACAAATGTTTTCAGCTAATTTAAATAGGTATCAAGTTGTAACTACTTTTACTATCAAATTCTGGAAGATTGATTGAAAAATGTAATGAATGAATGGTTTTATATTTGTGCTTGCTTTTGTTTTGTAGGTTCAAATAGTTTCCTTAGATGAAGAAACATCAGAATTTACTGCAAAAAGCACTTTTGATCATCCATATCCAACTACCAAAATTGTGTGGATTCCAGATACTAAAGGCATGTATCCGGACCTTCTTGCGACAAGTGGTGATTATCTAAGAATTTGGAGAGCTGGAGAAACTGATACAAGATTAGAGTGTTTATTGAATAATGTAAGTTGTAATTGTGCAAACATTTTTTGATAACTTTAATAAAATTTCAAACTTAAATGGTGACTGATAAAGTTCAAATATTTTAGTTTCAAACATTATATGAATTTTACAATTCTAGACAAATAATTTAAAAATTCATATAAGATTTAAATCTAATGTTATATTCAAAACAAAATATACATTTTATTTATTGGGTTATCATATCACATGTTTATCACTTTAATTTCAAATGTTATTCATTTGAAATTAAAATAAACAAAACCATTTTCCCCAAAAAATTTTTTACATAAAGCAATATTGGGAAAAAGTATTTGAACAGCAACAATACAGGTTGAATGTCAACTTGTATTCAGTCATCGATAATCTGTTTCCTTCAGATTTAGGCATGGATTTCAGAGTTCATTTTGAAATTTACTGTATTGACGCACTACTGTTTTCTGGAGGTGCCTAACTAAAATTCTGTAGAACTGTTTTATTTAATTGATGAACATTAAAATTTCATTTGCTTTTCATTTAGTGTTCAATTTTCTTTCTTTAAAGGATTATACAGGTAGTAATTTTCTGTTAAATGTATACGTCATGTATAACCATAAAAAATCCAGCACTCCTCAGAAGGTTTCCAGATTTTTGAATGTCAACCTGTAATAATAAAAGGATCTTTATATTCAACAAAATAACAGGAGTTAATATTTTGTTGATCTTCCTCTTGATCTTATTACAGCTTTTATTTATCTTGGCATTGTCAAATTGCCAAATTCATTGAAGGTGTCTGAAAATTATTTTACTTCAGCTAACTGTAATAGCTTCTTTAAGTTTGTCTTTATTAATTAGTGCCCTTTTATCAACCAGCATTTTCAGCTTTGTCCATAAATTTTTAATATGAGTTAAATGTGGGCTATTTGCAGGCCAGATTAATGTTTTAAAGTTCTTAGACTTCAAAAATTCTTTTGATTTTATTAATAGAGAGATTGTGGCTGATATTTTTATCACAAAAATGTGAATGTCGAATGTTTGGAGCCACCTTCCTGTAAGCCTAGAAGTTTGACAATGGCATTTGGAATGTTGAGCATGATTCCACTGACATTCCAAACACCATTGTCAAACTTCTAGGCTTACAGGAAGGCAGCACTGAATGTCTGACGTTCACATTTTTGCAATGAAAACGTCGGCCACAACCTCTCTAATAAGAAATTTAGCAAACTTTGCCTACTTGAATAAAAAATTTATTTTTTTCTTTCTAGAATAAAAACTCAGATTTTTGTGCTCCACTTACTTCTTTTGATTGGAATGAAGTTGATCCAAATTTATTGGGTACATCAAGTATCGATACTACCTGCACCATCTGGGGCTTAGAAGTAAGTAAAAATTATTTTAATTTAAATTCTAAAATTTAGCTTCAATATAAATTGTAAATGTGTTAACATATTATATTCTTGGAGAGAATAGAAGTCATAAAATTTTAGTATTAGTAGTTAAAGATTTAACTACTAATACTAAAATACAATACAAATTTAATACTAATACAAATTTAGTATTAGTAGTTAAAGATATAACTACTGATACAAACCTTTAGTATTAGTAGTTAAAGATTTTGCAAATAACATTTCCTCAATGATTTTGTCATTTTTAATGTATCGCACATACACCAGTAATAACGCTTCATTATTGCGAACTATACTTTCATCCAATTGTAATGTAAATTCTGTGTTTTGAAGATCTTCACAAAGTTGTTCTTCATCATCATTAGCCATCTCATCAATTCATCTGGAAACAGTATTGTTGCTTAAAGGAATGGAAGAAATTATACTGTTTGGATTTAATGTAGTCATATCACTTAAAATTTCTCAAACAGCTGGAATTATTAATTTTTCCCCAATATTATGAGGCTTGCCACATTTTGCTATTAACAATGAAATTTTGTATGAAGTCACAAGACCCTTGTTAAGTTGAATTGCCGAATCCTTAAATAAATTCACAACTGTTGTACGATTGTCTAACTTCTTTTTTAAATTAAGAAAATATTCAAAATCTTTGTACTTCTTATTGGGATGTTTTCTTGATAAATGTTCTTTCATTCTTGAAGGCTTCATTCCTTCGTTTGAAAAAACTTGATGACATTCAAGACACATTGGTAACTGCTCATTACTTGGCGTAGCAATAAAACCAAATTTTAATTATTCAATGGAATATTGGCGACATTTTCGTTTTTCAGACATGGTTTAATGTACTGTTTAATTTTCTAAAAAATAAAATTTTTGATAGATTTATCTTGAATTTTTCACTTGAAATTTTAAGGGGAAGGAGCGGGTTGTTCGGATTTCGTGGTAACCGATATTTTCAGAGGGTCCTAGAGAGTAACTATGAAAAATTTGGGCCTGATCGGTCAAAGGGTTTAGCAGTTAATGGGAGATAAATTAGGAGGAGGAATGGAGGTCTAATTAGCAGTTAACGGGAGATAAAATCAAAAGGAGCAGTGGGGTGACCAGGTTTTATGGTAACCGATATTTTCAGAGGGTCCTCGAGAGTAACTATGAAAACTTTGGGCCTGATCAGTCAAAGGGTTTAGCAGTTAATAGGAGATAAAATCAGGAGGAGCGATGGAGGGTTTAGAAGTGAATGGGAGATAACATCAGGGGGATCAATGGGGTGACCAGGTTTTATAGTATCCTATACTTTTTGAGGATCCTAGAGATTAACTAAGAAAAATTTGGGCCTGATCGGTCAAAGGGTTTAGCAGTTAATAAGGGTATAGAGATTGGAGGATTGTAATGTTAAGATATTCTATATTCTCCGAAGATCCTGGATAGTAACTACACCTAGATGCAGATCGGCCAAAGGGTTTATAAATTGCGTACAGAACAGTCATCCATACATTCTAATACGTTTGAAAAAGATTTATTTTGAAGATCCTGTAGATAAATATGAATTTACTCAGATATTTTTAGTTAATTACATAAGAATTTAATAAAATAAACTACAAAATAGTTTACTGCAAAAGGAACAGAATGATAATTTGTTCCAAATAACACAAAAGAATTTAAAATTTCCAAAAGAACATTCATACAACAACACCACACCATGAATGAAATCCTAACTTAAAAAAATAACAAAATGCAGTTTAAATATTCTTACACATTTTATTTATTTATTTATTTATTTTCTTCGAAATTTAATATCGTACTTCACGAGCGAGAAAAGTACAGTACAATATTGCAATTTCAGTCATCCATAAATCAAAATGGCGACCTCCACTCCTACTGCAACT